GAGCCAAATGCCAAGGGGAATAAATGTAGATTCGTTCTCTTCTGCAGGGCGCAGAGGTGCTCTCTAGCGCTCCCGGCGCCCCTCAGGAGCGCAGCAGCCTAATCGAGAGCCACACCTACATGGCTGAGGTCAAAGAGCTACAGCGGAGGTACTGTGAGATCTAAACCTTTAAAAACATGTGAATATGGCAGGCTGGGAAGCATGAATACTGATTTTTAATTTCTGATTTTTTTAAAATCAGACTGGATGAAGAGATGCAGCAGAGGATGGCTGTCGAGGAACAGCTGATGGCCACGCAAGACCAACTCAAACGGTATGAACTTCAGTAGGAGATAATCTCATACTGGGAAGTTGAAGGTGCTATAAGAACATTATGTTATATTTATACTAGATGATATGAGGATGGTCCAGTTCCCTGTAGCTCTGCGGTGCTTACTGGTGTCTCTTAGCAACTCTTGTCTTTAAGTTTCCTGTTTTGGTTTGGTGTAATCCCGGGCAAGGACGGGTAAACTTACCAGCCAGCTTGTAAATATGTGGGGGCACATAGTTGCTAAAGAGGGTGTCTAAATAGGCTTGTTAGAAGAAGAAGAAGGTTAACTGGTCGAGGTCATTATCAGGGATGAAGTGATTTAATTTTGGAGTCAACCCAGTGTTGATATCAAGGGAAGGATCAGGAGAGTCTTACTTATTCGCTTAGGTCAGTCCAGGTGGTTATACTCCATGTTGCCTCAGTTACATGTTTTTAATTGTGTGACGCCGTTATTAAGAATCAGCAAGCAATCAGCAAACAAGGCACGTTTGCATCTGAATCTCTCCTTTTTGTAGCTGCGGTAAATTTGCTCCATCAACAGCGATGACAGCTAACTTCTGTTTTTCTTATTATTAGCCACGGCCAGGCTAAATGGCACTCTGCACTGGACGGGGATTCCTCTGAGACTGCCGTTTTTATCGAGCCGCCGGAAGGAGCTGTCACACGAGTAAGGCGCCGCTAATGTTCTCCCGCACCTCATTTGTCACCCTAATAACCGTAATAATAAAGACTTACGAGCTCAATGTTTCCCTTCACCTTGTCTCTCTCCTCTCCTCTCGCAGACCCGGAGAGGCGGTCCCGGTTTGATGCGGATGCTCCGAGTGGCCTTCTGCTCCCGTCAGCGCACGCCTCTGCTGCTCAGCCTCTACCTGCTCACTGTGCACATCCTGCTGCTGCTGTGTCTGGGTGGATACCTCTGAAACCAGCTCCCTTTATAATAAACCTGACAGATAAGACGTGGGGAGAAACTGTAATGTGACCCGAGCCATCGCTATGATTTATATTGTTACATGAATTAATGAATTAAAGAAGGGCACAAACAAACAAACGTTGCACTTTACAGAAGTTTACCTTTTAGCCAAAGCATTTAGATTCATAAAGGGAGCGGTTACCTTCGATTATAACTATTTGGTCCTAGTACATTGAGTGTGAATGGTGTCTTTTTAGCACCGAAGCAGAGGAGAAATAAAGGGACCACAGCACATAAAGAGTTTTAGAGGGAAGAGTAGATCCAGAATTGTTTTAGGAGACCGTGTTCGTCTTGTGCCTTTATATGTGGATAAGCTGTGTGTAAAAGAGATGCAGTCTGTGAGTATAACCTGAAAGGGTCACTTTAAGTTAAACATTTTGGAAAGTGTGCTTTTTAGCTTTCTGGAAGAGTGTAGAGGCTCTGAAATGACTCAAATCTAATCTGAGCATTATCGAAAGCATTATTGAGGGGCATGTCTGTCTCATCATTTATAGCATCTGTATGCAGTCGAAAATAAGGCTAACTTATAGAAAAGGTGAAATGGTTGTGAAACTTTCCTATCAGCTGATTAAAAGCTCATATATATCTAAATCTCTGTATGTAAGTAGTAAAAACCCCACAGTGTAATGACAGCTCTCTGTTTTGTAAGCTCTGAGCTGTTAATAGCCAACCAGAGAGAAAGAAAGCTGTGACCAAGAACCAGATGTTTTTATTGATCAGATGAACCACATGTAACCTGTTAATTGCTAACTGCCTGCAGCGTAAACGCAGGGATTTTGTGGCGCTAACTCCACCAGAAAGCGTTAAGCCTCTTTCTCCAAATGCCGGCTCTTCTTTTACGATGGCTTGAGGTTCAGGGCGTGCTCTTCTAGTCCAGTTTCTTCCTTATCTGTTCGTTTCATGCACAAAAATGGAGCGCAGTGCAATTTGAGTTACTTACACATTCCTGTATTATGCTGTCCTTTCTTTCCTTTTTTCCTAAATGGGACATTATATTAATATTTGTACATATGAACATGCGTTGTGTGGGGTTTTCCTCTTACATGTCCAGTATGATTCCCACTCCATGCTTCTGCTGCAGATTTAGATCGTTCACAGTTTGCTCTGTACTTTTGATGGCAGATGAAGATGAAGTTGCCTTCAGGTGCAATGTTACCACAGTGAGGAAGACTGCTGTGATTTCTAATGATATCCGTCCCATTATATTATGGACTTACCCGGATGTAGCATAACTTATATCGGAACCCTCACCCTCCTCACCCTCTGTTTAATCATTGTGTTGGTGAAACTCTTTACACTGCTTCACACCTTAAACACACACCTGTATTTGTAAATAACTGTTGAAAGGGCTGTGTAGGATAATAAAGTGTCATTAAAGTGTTGGTGGTTTAGAATCAGGTCTCTTCAAAAATGGATCCATTTTCCTGTTAGACAGTAGGCGGTTTTTAATTTACCCTGGTTTACCCTTTATTTGGGCTTTGTTAGTTTTAAATCACTTTCTTTACTTTTACATTCATAAAATGATTCTAAATAATTTGGTTATTATATTGGAAAGCCTGTTTACCCGACCATTATCTTCTTCTTCTTCTTCTGAGAGATCAAATGAAGCTCAGGTCCAGGCCAGCTGAGAGAAATGGTGGCACACTGTAACTTTTTTGAAATGCCCACATAATCTATAAAACACTAAAACTGCTTTTCTTTATGGGAGGAGGATCTGTATACACTCACTGTTACTGCTGACACAACAATCACAGCTTTTAATAAAGATATTTTTAAATGTAAGTGACGTCTGGGTGAAAGTTTTTTGCCTCTAGCATTTTTTTCTTGTAATAAGTCAGGGACTAAAAGACAAAATAAACAATAACCTGTTTCTGGTACTTAGAAATGATGCACATAGTTTATTTAATCAGTAATTTTAAGTAATTTCTCCTTCTCTTGTAGGTCTACAGATGCTTTTGTGGATCTAACAGAATAAAGACCCAACATTTCACAGTGCTTCTTTTTTTGAACATTTTCAGACATCTGAATATTGGAGCTTTAAATAATGCATGTTTTATTAAAGTTGAATTGTAAGGTGAATATATGTGTGTCAAAATGACCAACTTAAATGTAAAAATGAGCTAAAGAAGTTAGAAATTCAATGATGAAACAAAACATTCTTTAAACAGGTGAATATAATGAAGACTTTAATATTTTAAAAGTAAGTAAAACACTAAAAGTAATACAATTATCCATTTAAATATGAAAAATGCTCAAACTTCAATTAGACAATATATAAGGTAAAATGTGGACACTTTATTAGGCACACCTTGTTGGTACCAGTTTGGAAACTGTTTTGTCTTCAGAGCTGACCTAATTATTAATTTCACAGATTAAACAAAGTGCTGAAAATATTTCTCAAAGATTTTGGTCCACATAAACATGACTGACACAGTTTCTGCAGAATTGTCTGCTGTACATCCATTATAGACATCCCAAAGTTTCTCTTGGTTCGAGATCTGGTGACTGTGGAGACCATTTGAGTAGCGGGAACTCCCTGTCAGTGTTCAAAAACAAAGTGTGAGATGATTTGAGCTTTGTGACAATGTGTAAACATGTTGAACTCCAGTCCTCGAGGGCCAGCATCCTGTTTGTTTTTAAGATATCCCTGCTCTACCTGCTGCCGATTAGCTGGATCAGGTGTGCTTTGCCAATAAGAAGCTACAAGGGCAGGTTAGTTGGAAAACAAGCAGGACAGCGACCATTGAGGCCTGTAATTCGACACCTGTGAGCTAAGATGAGCTTGAATGATGGTGGCATACCTCCTGTTACACTGACTCACTGCACCATCTTGTGGTTCTCGGTGGTATTACACGAGAATACAGCCCAGTCTTAATGTGCCGTTCACGCTCATATCTGCGCAATGACGCTTAGAAATCTTGCAAATAAGGTCACAGCTTTTGTTTCTTGACATTATTTTTGTAGATTTACTTTATTTTAGGTGTTTGACTCACTTTAAAACTGGTTTTATTACTTTTACTATGTAGGAGCGTTTTCGTTTGCTGACGTTATATAGGGAGGTAGGCAGGAGCAGGATGCACCAGGATGCATTGCTTGCTTTTTGGTAACGGGATTGATTATTTTTCCCGAATACTTTAGGACCTACCCTCCCATGTCGCACCAGTGGCCCTCTGAGATTGGTTTTTGACAAGCAGAAACTGCAAACGCTTTTAACCAACCCCATTTTTATTATTGAGGCATAGACAGACTCCAAAAGTGAGTGCTCATTATCATTTTTCCCCACCTGTTTTAAGTTGTGTAAGCCCCCAAATGTTGCAACTGCACCACAGCAGCTGGTCTGTAATCGCTCTACTTTTTTTTAAAAAAAAACTTTTTCTTTAAAGTCTGAAAATATAAGTACAAGTGGCATCTGTCTTTCTGTCTTAAATCGGTCTTAAACTGCTTTAGCTTGGAAACCATAAGAGGATATTTTTATGACCTGAAACTGTTTAAGAGCGCATGTCTGGTGGACTTTCTTTGATTTCGGACGGTACTTGAATGCAGCACTTCACTATCTATATATTTTTTTAATCCCTACAATTAATTTAAACGCTTATATATGAAAAATAAAATAAAACGGCCACGCTGCTGTCAGGTATGAACTCTTAAATCCCCGGGGCAGACAAGGGCGACACTTGTGCAGGTATTTTCACCAAAGCGCGCTCACGTGTGCTAGATCCGCGTTCACTCCTCGCCCGTTAGAGTGCGGCGACTTGTGCAAAGACCCCGCAGGACCGCTTACTGTTGCACATTATTCATCTAAACACGGGCAAACTGCGCAACAACTGAAAGGTAAAGATCTTATATTTGTATTCAAAGTGAAGCCACTAACAAGCCAGCGTCTAACTTTCCTCTGTTAATATTTCCGTTAAATTAAGGAAGTAGATGTAAGCAGTCGCAGTTTAAAGTGCTGCACAGTGAAACGTCAGTAGCGACAAATGTGACTTAACAGCCTCATGTTTTCAGATGCGAAGCATTTGAATGACATAAAAGTGATTAAATAATACGGGAATAAACTATTTTCTGCTTTTAACTCAGTGTTTACCTGAACTGTGTGTCCAATATTAAAAATAACAAGCCCAGCATTACTGAGACTGTCATTACTAGCCTAGAATTGCCATTTAAGGCAATAAAAGTGGCATAAAAATATAATTAAAGATAAATTATAGCCAGCTACTGAAAAAGACTTCATTTTTTATTAGAATATCTGCTTCCCTCACGACATAAAATCTCTTATTTCCACCTTATTAAAGATGATTTTAACATATGCAGTGCATAATGTTCTTAAATAATATATTATAATGCAGCTTTTTCAGTGTTTTAGTTACATGTTTTATAAGATAAGTGTATGTTCTTTTTGGGGAAATGAACCATCATGTTCAGAATAACTTCCTTTTTGAGACTTGAGCAGAGTTTGGTCAGAGCTTGTGGTTGTGCGTTAGTTTATTTTTAGTGATCACCTAAACAGAGAATAATCATTTTAATGCACGAAGGGGTCGTTTATCTTTATTGCATCTGTCCTTTGTGGCTCACTGTGTTTTAATCTCCCACCCCCAGATGTGGAAGTCAGTGGTGGGCCATAATGTGAGCATGAAGGTGGCTGGAGAGGGGGATGACTGGGAGACGGACCCTGACTTTGAGGTACTGTGTACTTCCTGGAGTGAGCGTCACTGTAGGGAGGGTTGGGTAGACACCCCCGCCTCAATCATTTCTGATTTTGTGTTTATGTGTTTTTTAGAATGATGTGTCAGAGCAGGAGCAGAGGTGGGGGGCCAAAACCATCGAGGGCTCAGGACGTAAAGAACACATCAGGTGAAAAGACGTGCAGCCTGTTCCTGGAAATATTATTTTTATAGTGCACGTAGATGAGTTCAGGACATAGTGGGTGCTGTGCAGCAACAGGAAGAGGAAGTGAGAGCAGAGCGTAAGCTGTTGGGCCGCGAGTCTTTCCTAATATGGATAATGTATGACGATGGTGATGTTGACAACTCTTTGACAGTGATATTTAAACCTCTGCTGACCGGGTGGGACAGATTTTGTATCAATCGTGGCTTATTCAGGGTCAATAATTCACTCGTTAATGAATATTTGGTAACCTTCAAAGTTGCTGTGGATCCTCATCAAGCAGAAAACTTAATTAATCTTCTAAGAGAGTGTTGTGGTTAGTTAGACAGACACATGACCCACCCTATTGGGAAAACCCGCCCATTAGCAGTATCCATGTACTCAGAGCTTCTGAGCATTTGTGACCCTGAATTTGTGACTCGTAAGAGATTTTAATATTGGAACGGATTAAGAGTAAGCAGCAGAGGAACAACTACTATACTAACAGTTTAAAATTACCATGATGAGTGTATCAGTGTTAGTGATTGAGTTCGCAATAGCATGAACTCCGTCTGTTTCACTATTCATGTGTTTTTGCCCCTGCAGTGTTGCAGAGCTCAGAAGCAAGGTCACTGAGGAGCATGAGAAGGTGAAGCAGAAGGAGAACATTCCCAAAGCATCGTACGGATATGGAGGGAAGTTTGGAGTGGAGAAAGATCGAATGGACAAGGTTAACACGTTTTTCTCATTGAAATCTGAATTATGGTGATATGCTTCTATCATTTACTGCGACTCCTCTTTACCCTCAACTCTGTGCCCATTTCTTTAAACTGTGTCCTTTTTGTTTGAACGGATGTGTCTCTGCTGTCCAGGTGGCTCTGGGTAGCGACTATGTAGCAGAGGTGGAGAAGCACTCTTCCCAGAAAGATGCAGCGAAAGGGTTCGGAGGGAAATATGGTGTTCAGAAGGACCGCGTGGATAAGGTGAGAAGACAAGCAGACTCTTTCACAATAGGCAACAATAAGTAAAAGGGAGCACACTGCACCCACATTAACATCTTTTCTTTGATATTCTGTAACTCAGATGTGATTTAAATGACATGATGAGGTCTCCTTCTCTGCTGTGTTTCTGTCTGCTGCTCTATGCCATCAAACAACAGGATTCATTCAATTCTATTTTATTTATATAGCGCCAAATCACAACAACAGTTGCCCTAAAGGGCTTTAATTATAAGGTAAAGACCTTACAATAATACAAAGAAAACAAAGAAAATCACAACATTCATATGATCCACTGTGAGCAAGTGCTTTGGTGACAGTGGGAAGGAAGAACTCCCTTTTAATTGAACAAACCTCCAGTAGAGACTGGCTCATGGAGGGGCGGCCATCTGCTGTGAACGGTACAGTTAAAACTGGGATCTATTATACTTTCCATTGTTTCTATTATACCTACATATACTGGTGGATACTCCTTTTAAACATGGTCAAAGTTTTAAATCCGAAGCCTATGTACAAGTACTTCTGTAAGCCAAAAACAGCTGGTTTCAGACATTTTGGCTCTGTATGTACATCAGTAAGAGTGGATATGGTCATCTCAGACACACAGCTCTGGTTTCGAGCACAAAAGTCCAACCGACATGATGTTCAGATCGTCTGGCGTAGCCAATCAG